AGAAAGAAAGAAAGAAAGAAAGAAAGAAAGAAAGAAAGAAAGAAAGAAAGAAATCCCACCAGGAGACAAATGCTCATTAAAAGGGAATGGTCTCTATGATTCACAGTACATCCATAGGATGGAATAAATTTCAGCTACTAAAAAGAATGAAGTAGCCCGGGATGTGTGGGGGCGGGAAGGTGTCCAGGGTGTACTATGATGTCAGGGGAGAACAGGATGTGTGATTCGATACTATTTATGTTGAAATGAAATTGGAATGTTACCAAAGTGAAGATGAAGTCAAGTTGGGAAGTAGGACTAGGGAGTCAGGGGAGTTTTATTTTGAACTAATTAATCCTCTTTATAATTTGATTTTTAAATTATGAACATATATTACCTTATGATTTTGTTTATTTTTTGCATGCTAGTAATAATGAAGCATGAGGTGAAAAAATTCAAAAGGCACAGGGGGATGTGTGAAATTCTCCAATTATCTCCAATGATCTGACACAGAATTAATTTATTCCTAGCGTGTATTTATTGTTTTTAGAAAGAAGAGGGGGAAAAATGAATGAGAAAGGGTGGAGGACATCGGCAGGTGCTGCTCTGTGTCCAGAGTTGGGTGGGGGCACTCTCCTCAGGCTTATTCTCTGCCCTTGGCTTCCCAGCATTGGGCTTCCTGAGACCTTGCTGAAGCACTGGTGGAGGGCCCTGCCCATGGCTCCTGGCTGTGGTTCTGCTTTAGGTCCTTAGCCCATGGCCCCAGGCAGTGAAGCACTGGAGTCCCCCTGGACTGGCCCCCTTCCTGCCAGCTCCCTTGGGCCAGGCCTCCCTGGCAGATGCCCAAACACTCATTAGGTGAGACAGATCTGTAGGCAAATATTTATCCCTGTGCAGCTGCGGGCAGCGGCAGGTGCAGGGCAGAGTCCTGTTTATCTAGTGCTGAGCCAGGCAGGCGCTGCCTGTTTGCTAAGCACCTTTCCTAGCCTGACTCAGATTCCTGCCTGGGAGGAAGCTGGGACAGAGGAGGATATGCCACATGAGAAGTCAGGAGGTACTACCCTTGCTGCCAGACCTTGCAAGGGCCTCACTATCAAGTCCTGACTTCTGCTGTGGCCTATATGCTTGTATGAGCTCTGTCTCCTTCCTGTCTTCTTTTGCAACCTTCCCCTGTCCTGTTTGCTAGGGCTGAGCTATTCTCCACCTCTTCCCAGGCTGACTCCTGCTCACTGGTCTTGGGCTTCAGTGCCCTCTCTTCAGAGTGGTGAGGCTTACTATTAACCATTGTCATGACCTGCGTCAACCCATAGTAATTACAGTTGTCCTTCAGTATCCAGAGGGGATTGGTTCCAGGACTCCTTGCCCATAACAAAATCTGAGGATGCTCAAATCCCTTCTATAAAATGATGAAGTATTTACATATAACCCACACAATCCTCCCACGCACATTAGTTATTTTATTATTTATTTTTATTTTTACAATGCTGGGATCTAAACCAGCGTCTTGCAAATGTTAGGCAAGTACTCTACCATTGAGCTACAGTCTCCTGAGCAACTATATATTTTAAATTATCTTTAGATGACTTATAATACCTAGTATAATGTGTTTAGGAAATAATGACAAGAAAAAAAGTGCATGTTCAGTAGAGACACAATGTTTTAAAATACTTTTTAAACTTCAGTTGGTTGAATCTATGAATGTGGAACCCAGGGATATGGAGGGATAACCATACTCATTTATTTTTCTACCCTTTCCTAGTTGGTGTTGTTTTCTCTACTGGACATAGATAGGCAGGGGTGGAGGTAGTTTCATTCATCCTTGTTTCCCCAGCTCCTCCTAGACAGCCTGACACCTAGTAGGTGCTCACCAATTGTTTGTTAGGCGGCAGCCTAAGTGAAGCCAGGCAGGGAACCCAGGGCCAAAGACACACAGGTGTGACACAAGGCCAGAGGAGAGGGGCAGTGTGGATCTGTGAGGTGGGAAGTGGGACTCCAGGATGGAAAGCTATAAAAGGCCTTGAGTGCTATGCAGGGAGTTCGGGTTTCATTTGTCAAAAGTGGGAAAGTTTTTGGTACAGGAAATGCAGATAATATAGCAAATGAGAAAATGATAAATCAGATCCTCCAAGTTGGACAGTATTAATTCTGCAAGGCTCTACATCATCTGTAGCACCCACTACACCCTTTTCCATCTCTCTCCCCAGCCAAACTGGCCTTCTGGACCTTCCTTTCTCTCTCTTTCTCTTTCTTTCTTTCTTTCTTTCTTTCTTTCTTTCTTTCTTTCTTTCTTTCTTTCTTAATTCTTTCTTTCATTCACTGGTGATTCCACCTAGGGCCTTTGCACTGAACTACAACCCTAGACCTTTTAAAAAATGTTTTATTTTGACACAGGGTTCCAGTGAGTCACCAGTTTGCCTAAATTGGGCTTGAATTTTTGATCCTTTTGCTTCAGCTCCCAGAGTGGTGGGATTAGAGGTGTGTGGTCTCCTTGATGTTTCTTGAACAACACAGGTATCCTCCAGCCTCAGGACTTGCTAGAGTCTCAATGTTTCTACCCTCCTTGCCCTCTTCAATCAATATGTTGAAATCTAATGCTTAAGGCGGTGGTTTTAGGAGGTGGGGCACTTGGGAGGTGGTTTGGTAGTAAGGGTGGAACCCTCAAGAATGGAATTACTGTCCTCATAAAAGAAGCCCCAGAAAGCCCCTTGTGTCATGTGGGGATATAGTGAAAAATCACCATCTATGAAACAGAAAGCAGGTCCTCACCAGACACCAAGTCAGTTAACACCTTTATCTTGGACTTTCCCGTTTCCAGAACTGTGAGCAGCAGATTTCTTCCCCTAAGTACTGTGGTTTGAATGTGTCCCTCACATCTCATGTGTTGAAAACCTAATCCCCATGCAACCTTGTTGGGAGGTGCTGCCCCTAGGAGTAGGGTAATGTTGTTATCACAGGAGGGGCTCCTCATAAAAGGATGCACTCAGCCCCATCTGTCTCACTCCTAGTCCTCCTGTGCCTCTCCCATGCTCTCTCACCTGTCCACTTTTTTCTAGGGGTGATGTAGTGGGAAGTCCCTGGCCACATGTGGGGTTCTCAACCTTGGACTTCCTGGCTTTAGAACTGGAAGAAATAAGTAATACATTTTTTTTCTCCTCCTCTTCTTTCTTTTTTTCTTCCTCTTCTTTCTTTCTTCCCCTCCTTCCCCTCCCCCTCCCCTTTTTTCCTCCTCCTCTCCTTCCTCCTCCTCTTTCTTTCTCTTCTCTCCATCCTCCCCCTCCTGCTCATCACCTTCCTTCTCTTATTCCTCTTCCTCTCCTTTCCTTCCCCCTCTCCTCCTTCTCTTCTTCCTTCTTCCAACACAGAGGATTGAATCCAGGGCCTTCATACTGAGTCCTAACCCTTTTTAAATTTTATTTTGACACAGGATCTTGCTAAATTGCTAAATTACCTTGTCTCAGCCTCACAGAGTGCTGGGAGTACAGGCATGCATCACCATCCCTCGCTAAATTTCTTTTCTTTATAGTAAGTCCAATCTGTGGCATTCTGTTATAATAGCGCAAAATTGGCTAAGACAGCAAACTACCCATTTTATGGTATTTTGTTAAAGCAGCCTGAATGGACAAATGTAGAGACTTTGAACTTGCTGCTTTCTCTGCCAAAATACCTTCCCCTTGGACATCATGTTTAATCTTTGTTTAACTCTCAGCCTCCAGCCTCATCTTACCAGAGAGGCTATTCCTGACCCCATAGACCAAAGAGCCTCCCTGGCTAGTGCCTTTATTTTGTTTCGCTTAATATTTGTATCTGCTTTTTTGTCTATTGTCTGTCTGCCCTCCAGGAACATTTGCTCCAAGAAGGCAGGAATGTCATTGTTCTTGTTTCCTGATATATCCTCTGAGCCTAGAATATGTACCGTTAGGCTGAATAACTGCTTGTTGAATGAATGAACGAACAAATGACTGTAATATTAAACCAGGCTACCCAGGAGTGGACATCATGCTAAATGCTGCTCACATGGACCCAGGCTGGTCCTGTTTCCAGAGCCCTCACACAGCCATTCTCTGCTTTGATCTGCACATCAGCCCAGTCAGCCCAGTGTGTGTGTGTGTGTGTGTGTGTGTGTGTGTGTGTGTGCGCGCAGAATGGGGATTATGATCTGCCTTAAACAATGATTAGCTACAGCACGAAAGTATCACGATCACACAGACAGAAACCAGGATGAGATGCCTGCAGTCTCACGACTTCAGCAAATCAATTTTTAAAATGGGATGTGCAGGAATTGTGGCAAAAAGGAGTCTGCATTTTGAAGCAGATCTTTCCTGCATTCAGTTCCAAGCTCAGCTATTTATTTATTCTGTGACCTAAGCCTAATCTAGCCCCTTCAACCAGCCTTGGCTACCCTGTCTGTGAAATGGAGATAACGTCCCCTTGAATGGGAACAGTGAAGAAGACATTTCCACATAGGCATTTTCTGAATGACACCATCTCCTGTGTTTCCTTTTCGGTACCTATGTAAGCCAAGTGTCATGCTTTCCTTAATCCATTGACTACTTCTGGACATGGAAATATTAGCCCCCATTTACAGACCCTGCCGGGTTCGAGGTCAAGCTATACCTTCATTCTCTCAGTTCTCACTGCAGCTCCATGAGGCGGGTGCTGTTAACCCTCACATTTTGCAGCTGAGGCTAGGTGGCTTCTCCAAGGTCACACAGCCTTGGAATTGAAAGCCAAGTTGTCAAACTTGAGGGCTTTCAACTTTTTGGGTTAGGGTGGAATATTTGTCCTCATTTTATAGATGGGGAATATGAGGCTTGAGGAGACCACTGACTCGTCCTGGGCAACACCGGGCAGAGCTGGGATGAAACAGAATCCAGGCCTACCAATTTCTGTTCTGTGCTTTTTTCCAGCCAGCCCATCCTCTGCACCTTGGGGCAGTGTCTGTGTCTCATGCCTCCTGATGTGGCCATGGAGGGAGTGGCTGCTCCAGGACCAGCTGAAGGCTTGCGGAGAGGGTGAAAGAAATTACTGGTGAGCAGAGGAAACCTGTTTCTATTCCATAAACTGCTCTTCTCTTCCTTTCTCTCCCCGTCTCTTTCTCCCCTCCCCTTCCCCTGCCTCCCCTCAGAGCTCTGTACTAATTAATCAGCAGACATCAGAGGCTCCAGCTGGGACCAAGTGGGCTGGACTCATTAGTGCAGAATGACATTAATATCAAAAACTTTTTGAGACAAATGCAAATGACTCAGGATAGGTGCCTGTGCAGGGCTGGCTCAGAAGCTGGTGTGGGTAAAGGAACGTTGGTAAGAGACAGAGAGGAAACCATGCAGAAGTGGGAGGACAACCAGGCCAGGTTCCCCTGATGCTTGGAAGGAAGAGAAGGACAAAGCAACTGAACTTGGACAAGGTCTTTGTGTGCTATCTGATTTATTCTGTTTCCTGCCCAGGAGGTCTTATGCATCTGCAAAATGAATCCAGGAAATATACCCCCCTCTCCCTAATGTGTTATTGCAACCTTGGGCAAGTTGGAGAGGGAGCGCTACATTGTGGCTTTGGGGTTGGATGGTTGGGGGTGACTTCTAGCTCCTTCCCCTCCTCACACTGTATCCTTCTGCAAATCACTCCGTATCTTTGGGTTTCTGTTTCTTCCTCTGGGTCAGCAGGTAATAATAGCTGCCTCTCAGGGCTAGTGAGGGTCATGGGGGTGGACATGCTTTGTGGAACATGGACCAGAGGAGAGGGAATGGCATCTTCATTTTCTTCTCCTTCGTTATTCTTGTCCCTGTGGTGCTAAGCATCAATACTCTTTACCTTCTTGGAAAATAGGAACCAAATTGGCTCCCACAGAGGGGCTTAGAAGCTGAGTTCTGCTTCTTTCTTATGCCATTCATTTCTTCACTTCATATGTTTACTGAACACCTCCCAGGGGTCAGCATCTACTAGGTGCTGAAGTTAAAATGTGAATGGGACATGATTTCCACCTTGCAGAGAGCCAGTCTAGGGAGGAAGCCAGTAAGGGGAGCCATAATTGCTACAATACAGAGTGAGGAGGGCTGTTGGGTTTCCTCCAGATACTATGATTGGAAATCTGGTTCTCAATATTTTGGGCACTATCGCTATTCCTCTCTCCCTCCCTCCCTTCCTCTCTCCCTTCCTCCCTCCCTTCCTTTTTTTCCTTTCTTTTTTTTAGAAAAGGAAATGTATTCAATACATCTGCAGTGTTGGGTGCTATGGGAGTGGTATTGACTAGGATAGGCAAGGCTGTGCTGTGGTAATGGACGTTCCTAACTTCTGGGGGAGAAGTCTGGGAGTTGCTTTCTCCATATGGCGTACATATGTGTGGTCAAGGGGAACTTTACAGAAGAGAGACCACAGAGCTATCCTGGTGGCTTGAGGAGGAAGTTTCCAAGTGGTTTGGTGAGGGGGCAATGAGGACATCATTTATTTGAAAAATATCTGTTGAAGGCCTACTATATTCCATCTCAGCTCTAAATGAAGGGGCACAGAAGTGAACAAAATAAAACTCTACCTTTAGGGAAATGAGTTTTAGTGGAAGGTGAAAAATGCTATGGAGAAATAAAGCAGAGCCATAAAGGGGCACTTGCTATTGTATACTGGGTGGTCAGGGATGGGGGACAACCTGGTAGGTAGAGGAAATGTAAGAGTACAGTCCTGGAAGGGAAATTTTTCTGGGCTCTGGGAAAAGCAAAGGGGAGAGTTCAGAACTGTAGGGGAGAGTGGTAGGTATTGGGGTTAGAAGGGAGGCAATATGGACCTTGATATCTTGGGTGTTTTAATCCTGGCTGCTGGAAAAATGTAGGATGTCCAGTTCAATATGTATGTCAGGTAAAGAGCAAATATTTTTAGTATAAGTGTATCCCACACAAATTTGCTTTTCTCTGGAATTAAAAAATAATTCCTGACACTCCTTTTTTCCATTTAAAGTTATTTCAATTGACATACAAATTGTACATGTTTAAAGTATATAGCATGTTTTAAAATGTGTGTACACTTGTAGAATGACTGAATCAGGTTAATTAACATGTATTACCTTATCTACTTGTCATTTTTTTTTGTGGTGAGAACACTTAAAATCTACTCTCCTAGCAATTTTCAAGAGCACAATACATTGTTATTAACTACGGAAACTGTGTTGCATAATGGATCCTTAGATTTTTTTCCTCCTGTCTAAATGAAATAATGTATTCATTGGGCAGTGTCTCTCCCATCCTTCCATCCATCCTCCAGCCCATGGTAACCACCGCTGTATTCTCTGCTTCTGTGGATTTGACTTTTTCTGATTCCACATATAACTGTGCAATCATGTGGTATTTGTCTTTCTGTGTCTGGATTATTTCACTTAACACAATGTCCTTGAAATCTCTAATTTAACTAGTTGTGGGCCTCCCTAAGACTTTGGCTTTACTCTGAGATGAAAGCCACCAATAATTAGAAGTAAAAGGTGGAAGAGATGCACCCAATGTTTTGAAGGGATATTCTGGGCGCTGTGTTATAAGTAGACTGTAGCTGGCAAGGACAGAAGCCAGGTACCTGCTGGGAGTGAGATGGGATGGATGTACTGGGGTGTAAGTGTGGAAGCACTGATGAGGGTGGATGTCTGTGAAGACAGAGCTGACTCGATGTTCTAATAGACTTCTTGTGTGGTGGGAGAGGAAAAGGGGCTAAAGGAGGACTAAACAACTACAAAGATCACAGGAGAAGCCTGTGTGTGTATGTGTGTGCTTGTGTGTGCATGCATTCATGGATGTGCACACATGGTTTGGGACACATTGTTAAGAGATGCCCACTAGAAAACCAAGAGGAGACACGGAGAAATCAGGTGAGCACATGTCCTGGAGTTGGATGAGAAGACTACTAATTGGTAATTTGTCAAGCAGGACACCTGGCTGAGAGCACCTGGAAGTATATAGCTCAACCCCAAGCATCTGTAGAGGCTTGCTGGAGAGTGTGGTGAGCTGAGGGTGCAAAGGACTGAGTGTTTCTGGTTAGGCCCTTGTGGTATGAATGAGACTGGCATAGCATGGAGGACTGGAAGTTCTTGGACATTGTATACTGGGGTGTGCTAGAGTGGGTCCCTGTATTAGATAGGTCCCTGTGGGGCAAGATGGGTCTAGAAGGGCTTTCAGGGAACTGTGGCACAAGCCCTGGCAAGAAGTATCCACGACTGACCCAGGATAGTGACTGGGAGGCATAAGTGGGTTCATGCACAGCACTGATGGGAGTGGGTGGCAGATGGATGAGAACAGGAAGATGGATGTCCTGAACCTTTGGGTAGCTCTCACAGGGCTGTGGGGGACCCCGTGTTGGTCCCAGAGGAGTGTACAATGTCCCTGCCCCTCCCCCAGCACCCCAAGGCCACTGTGCTTGTTAGCAAGAACACTCCTCAGAGGGAACATATGTGCTGTTATTTTTAGGTGATTAGTCGCACATCGTGGAGCGTTTGTTTGCCAGTCGTGGGTAAACAAAAGCCATTTGTCAAAATGAGATGTTCCAGCCTCATCCTCTTAGACAGGCCAGTTGCTGTGCACTGTGAGTTTCTGTTGCATCAGAAGTGAGGCTAATTAGCTCTGCAGCTCCTAAATAATAATGGCCACATTCACTCAGAGATTTCTGTGTGCTAGGAGCAGTGCAAATGGCACTTCCTAGAAGCCATGTATGAGATCAAAGGTGTGTCTTATTGGTCTGACCTTGGAGTTAGGGAAATCAAGGCTCAGGGAGGTAGACTGACTTTCTCAAGCTTTCACAGCCAGAAAGATGAGGCCCTGGGACCCTCGGATCTGAGTGACCCCAAAGCCTGAGATGGGTGAGGGGACTTCTCTGCTCCTCTTGAATATTTCCTCCCCCATCTTGTGACCAGAAATTCAGCAACATTGAGCAGTTTAGGTGGCAACTGACATTGAGCCATTCCACTGGCTGCTAGGACTCCATCCAAGGGATCCTCCAATACCTCTTCAAAGTTACTAAGGCACCCGAGGAAGGGGAAACCCAAAGTGTTATTATAGCCTCTGGTCAGGGGGTAATTGGTACGAGTTCTAGCCTAAGTCCAGCTCACAGTGGGTCCACTGGGCTCATGGTCCCACCCAGTGGTGCCAAGTGTACAATATACAGTTGGCCTTCCCTATATGTGGAGTCTGCATGCATGAGTTGAAAATATTCAGCAAAAAGATTTCATCTGTACTGAACATGTACAGAATTTTCTTATCATTATTTCCTAAACAAGTGTAGCAATTATTTATATAGCATTTACATGGTATTGTAAGTAATCTAGTGATGATTTAAAGTATAGGGAGAATGTGTGTAGGTTGTGTACAAATACCATGTCATTTTCTAGAAGGGACCTGAGCATCCCTAGACTTTGACACAACCAAAGCCAACCTTTCTTCATCCCCCATGAGGATGAGGGATGCCTGTTTTGTTATAGCAGTTTAAATGGTCTAAGACACATAGTTTCTACTTTTTTCCCTATTGCTTTCTCCCCCATTGTTGTGAGTCTATTTCTAAATGGCATCTTCTTCTGCCAACTCGGGCCAACAGAAAAGAACCATCACTGAACTTCTAAGTATGCACTCCTGTCTGTTTTGGGAACTGGCAGTTGTCACAGTCCTCTGTGCAGCCCAGGAATGTGGAGGGAGGTGTCTGGCTTTCTGTGGGTGGCATATCTCCTCTGGTGTGCCCATTCCTTGTTCCTTTCAACTCCTTCTTCCACCATCTGCCACAGCACTTCTCACTTTGTCTTGGTCACTGCTTTTTCCCGTTCCACAGTATGTTGGCACCATTTCCAGGGTCACTTGTGAGAGTGTTGAATCTTGTAAAGTTGATAAACACTCTATTATCTGACCTAATGTCCTGGCCCTTTTGACCAAATACCGACTGAATCTTGTTCCTATTCCTGCTGGTAAGTGTTGACCTGGTCCTGGATCTCCTTTGGAGTATTGTCCCATTTGTCCTTGTTAGGCCCACTATGCCCATGGATGATTTATGGGAATAACCTTAACCCTAGTCATTGGCTT